GGCCGCCCTGAGGCGGAGGCGGAGGCGGCGGCGGCTCCTTGACCTTGCTGGCCCGCTCGCCCCGAGAAGGCGGCGGCGGCGGCTCCTTGCCCTCCCTCCCTGCCGGCTGGCTCGCTCGCTCTGAGGAGGCGGCGCAGCGGCGGCGGCGAGGCCAGCTGCAGAGCGTCTCCTGCGCATGCGCAGGAGACGCTCTTGCACTTTCGGGGGGATTTAAACATCCCCCCGAAATTTTTTTTAACTTTTTTTATTTTTGTGCACACGTGGGGACTGGCCCACGTGTGCACAAACCTCCCCTCCCCCCCAGCTGCCCCCTCCGTGCTGATTTAGCGATCCGCACGGAGGGGGCAAGTTGGCTATTAGATATATAGATTTGCCAGTTTTGAAGTGTTTGATCTATGAGTATCCAAGGCTTTGTGGATTGCATGAGCACAAGAGAGGAATGTTTTCTTTTTCCACAAATCAGAGATCATATAAAAGGGGAAAGTTTTCTAAGTGTGAAACTCCTCTTGGCTAGCTTTTAAGAGTATCACAAATTTTGTTTTGTCTTATTTAGAAACAGGAGGCATCTGTATTGCACCTCGTCCTTCAAACCCAGGAGCTGAGATCCTTCCAGCCATGGCCATGAGACCCTTGTTCGGCATCAGTCCGTCCCTTATGGATGACAAGGTACGTTTTATTTTTCAGCTCGTAGGAATTTTTTAAATTGGAGAAAAATGTTAAAAATCCCCCCCTCACACACACTAGTCAGAGCCACAAGTTGAAATGTGACCTAGGACAGAATTTTATGATAAAATAAAGTAGAATCTTACAGCTGAAGTCTTCTTACATATGACTGTATGAAGCAGCCTTATACGAAGTCAGAACATTGGTAGATGTAGTTCACTGTTATCTACTCTGCCTGGCAACAGCTATCTGTGGTCTCAGACAGAGGAAAGTCTTTAACAGAGATCCTTTCAATTCTGGTGCGGGGGTGGGGAGGGATTTGATTCTGAGCCCTTCAGCACGCAAAGTGTGCACTCACTCATTCAGCCATAGTGCCTCATGATCAGGACTGGATTAAGAGCTATCTTCAGCCTCATTGTGCAATAGTTTATTTCTCCATCAGGGAAATGTCTTAAGACAGAATGATGTCTCTGGAGCTCTCTGCATCTCTCAGGCTTGGCCAGGAATGGCAAGGACCATTTACAATGACCACCAGAGATTCCTGGAGACCTACCTGATGCCTTATCCAGGTACAGCCTTGTGGGAAAGGGGAGGGGTGAGAACATTGTGTTGCTATGGTTGTGGGTTAGCAGGCAGGATTCTTCTGGCTTTATGTATGGAAGGGCTTCTGGAACCAGAACAAGGATTGAAATGCAGCTCATTATACTCAGTTACTTATTGTACAACAGACCTATTCTGAATCACTTATGTTCCCTCTCTTCTATGTGCGCCCAGAAAGGAAAACAATCTTTCTTTTCATTTGCCTAGTTAGAAATTCAGGTGCTTGAGGCAGTGACCTCCCTCTGCAACTGCATAATGGAAAAGACCCTTTTAATTATTGGCACAGCTCCTTCAATGTCCACAGTACTTGACAGACTACAAGAAGGCAGATCCCTGCTCTGAGGAGTTCACAATCTAAAGTTGTGATCAATGGAAAGGATTTGAAGGTGGGAAGAAACACGGGGAAAGTGTCTGTGTTCTGGTTTCTTATGGTTAGGCTTCCTGTACAGAAGGGAAGGAGCACAAGGCCTTCACAGTGAGCTCTGAAAAAGAATTTGAAGGAAGACAGGTGGCACAGCACAAACATCCTGGGGGAAAGTCCCAGGTGTAAAAGGCAGCTAGGGAGAAAGGGCAAGCGGGATACCCTCAGATGAACGAGGGTGGCAGAGCTGGAAGAGTGAAAGTCTTGAGTGAAGATACGACAGCAGAGGGTCAAGGAGGTATGCAGGAATCTGAAGGTAGGGATGAGGAGTTTGCACTGTGTCTGGGAACAAACAGGAAGTCTGTGTGGAGATTTAAGAACTACAGCAGTGGTCAGAATAATAAGGTGAGTGATTTGAGCTGCAAAGTGAGATGAGGAGGTTGAGGTTCAGTGGCAGAAGACCAGTGAAAAGGGGGTTGCAGTAGTCAAAGTGAAAAATGATCAGAATGCAAACTGGTTTTCAACAAGTGGACATAAGTGACTCAAAATAGGTCTGCTGTACAATAAGTAACTGAGTATAATGAGCTGCATTTCAATCCTTGTTCTGGTTCCACGAGCCCTTGCATACATAAAGCCACTTGAAGGAGGAATACCTGGTCCATAAGAATTCTGATTTGGTTTGTCTTCCTCAGGCATTAGTATTTGTGTAGATACAGACAGAGGCCAGCAAACAGGAGGCAGTGAGCATACTATGACGTGTAAATACATAAATACCATTTTATAGGGAGGGAGGCTGGTCTCTTTCCATTATAAGGGGAAAATCATGGGTTGGCACTTGGGAGTATTTTTACAATAGCTTCAGTATCTACCATTTATTTAGCACAAGGGCTTAAAGATGTTCTGCTTTCAGGGAAGATTTTCCAGTTGGTTTGGTTGTGAAGGAGACATTTCAAGTCTGCTGTTACATGTCAGAGGATTCCTGAGCATATTTCATGTTGAGGACACTCACTTTGGCCTAATTCCTGCATACAGCAGCTAAAGTGGTAATTCTGAGTCTGGACTTTCCCCCTTCAGACTGCTCAAGTGACTGAATGCCCTACAAAAAGATTCACTGTACACAGAATACCATATATGAGAGTGAAGAGATTTAGCTGAGACTTCTCCTCTGTGATATCCAGGTTCAAGTCCCCTATTCTGCCTCTCTCACACCACAGCCTAACCAACTTCACAGGACACTCACTTTGGCCTAATTCCTGCATACAGCAGCTAAAGTGGTAATTCTGAGTCTGGACTTTCCCCCTTCAGACTGCTCAAGTGACTGAATGCCCTACAAAAAGATTCACTGTACACAGAATACCATATATGAGAGTGAAGAGATTTAGCTGAGACTTCTCCTCTGTGATATCCAGGTTCAAGTCCCCTATTCTGCCTCTCTCACACCACAGCCTAACCAACTTCACAGGCTTTTTGTGAAGGTAAAATGGAGAAGAAAGCAATGTAAGTTGCTTTGGGTCCACACTGGGAAGAATGGTGGGTCATAAATGAAGTAACTAAATCCTAATGTACTTCATAGGGTTGTTGTGAAGGAGGCAGGGAGGCTGATGTTGTAAGCAGCGTTCCCTCTAAGGTGAGTCAGTGTGAGCCAGCTTTCAGTTTTTTTAGCCTCTGACTCACACATTTTTGTCTTAGCTCAGGAAGGGATGGCTCCAGAACAAACTAATTTATGCAGTAGCCAAATTGCTCGCTCACAACTTTAATGCCAGTAGCTCACAAAGTAGAATTTTTGCTTACAAGACTCCACAGCTTAGAGGGAGCATTGGTTGTAAGCTACTTTGAGTCTCCACTGAAGATAAAGCAGGGTATAAATATAGAAACAAACAAACCATGGTTAATGCACCAGAGAGCAGACTACATCTTCCTGTTCCATGAAGCCGTAGATTGCAGAGGACGTTCTGTCTGAAGAACAGGCTGTTTCTTAATGAAGCTTATCTCCTCTTTAAGGATCTCTGATAACCTTCTGAGGAATGCTGAGGTACCACAGAAAAGTTTGAAAACCACTGCAGTAAATCACTAAAGTACAACTGTTGGCTTACTTTGATCACTCTAGGATATTTCTACACTGGGGATGGAGTGTATCGGACAAGCAAAGGGTATTACCAGTTGACAGGTCGCCTGGATGATGTCATCAATATCAGTGGGCACAGGCTGGGCACTGCTGAGATAGAAGATGTTGTGGTAAGGCTGGGGCAGATCCATAGAATTCAGCAGATGACACAGAACCTTCCACTGTCATAGAAGTCGCTGTAGAACCCCAGCAGTAGTCTAAGCAAATGGGCAAATTTTATGACTTGGTAGTTACCACTAGCTGGGTGGGTGCCTATGCTGTCTCCTGTTGTGGTTACATGGCTTCTCTCTCTCAGTGCTCCTTCTGCAGTAATTTGGGAAAGAACAGCCTCTTAGCCACTGTGAAACCATTTCAGATACAGAAGTACGTAAATCAACTTTGGCATTTTAAAAAATAACTAAATAGTGAATTCTGATTTTCACTTGCAGAATTTTCTTGATGTGTAATTAGGAATATTTTGAATGCAGAATATATTGGGCCTGAGAAATATAAAACATCCTCTGGAGGCAAAATGTACCTGTGACACTTTTGCAGATATGAGTGTACAGGAACCTCAGAGAATCAACTAAGAATTTACTGTAGTCAGTTCAGGGAGTCCATGAAGGTATGCTACAAGGCAGAGCATCTAGGAAGGCACTGAAGGTCATCTGTTCGAGCAATTTTTGTGGGAGATGCCACAGCAGTGGGGACTAGCATTACAAACAGTCATGTTTTTTCCTCCTTTCAATTATCCCACACTGGTTTTCCAAAGTCCCTTATAGGACTCATTACTTAGGTGTCTTCTCCCTCATAAGCTTTCCAGGCTGTGTGGTTTCAGTGTGGGAATTTGGCCCACACAGTTGTCCTGTAGAACAAGATACTAGGACATGTTTTGGTTCCAGTCTGCCAGTGCCTAATGTATTAATAGAATTTGTAAAAAAAGGGTTGAACTGTCAGGGCCTTTCTATTCTATTCCTTTTCTTTTGACTACACCAAGATAAGTGAGCTACAAGTTTATGCCAGCCTATCAGGATCCCTGAAGAAAAACAACAAAACTGTTTTGTGTTCCAGAATACCCATTGTGCTGTGGCAGAGTCAGCTGTGATTGGGTGTCCTCATGAGATCAAAGGAGAAGGTGAGAGCCTGACTGTGATTGCAATCCTAAGCACATTTACCAGGGATAAGCCAGCTGAGCTCAAGGGGGACATGCTTTGGAATATGCTTTGAGTTGCATTGTTGGTCTAGTTAGGCTGCTTCTTGTGGGCTCCACCTCCACTGGGAACTGCAACGTGAGAGAGTTCTCCTGTGGAATATTGGCTTGCGTATTCTACATCCACTCCAGACACAGAAGGGAAGGATCAACTCATCCCACTGAGCTAGCAGGCTCTTTAGAACAGGAGCTGGTGCCTGGTTATACCCATGGCTAGAGGCGTTGAAGGAACTGGCTGTTTTTAGACAAACAGTAGGCGTGGAGAAGGATGATGAGAGAAAGACAGCAGGTAGGCAGGCAGCTTTTAAAGCCCATTTTGAGTCAGGAAAACAGCGGGGTGGGGCGTGAAGCCTCTTTTCCATTCCATGGCCTCAGTCCAAACTGGGACCCTGAGGTGCTTGGGAACTTCACTTGCAGGAGCTGATCTGTCGGGTGTTTTCCACTGCTTTCACTTTGCATGTCCTTTGGGTTTTCTTTTTCATTCTGCATTGATTTTCCTCCCTTCAGTGCTCAGTTCGCTTGCTGGTCGCCATTTCCCCTGGTTTTCTGAGAGTACTTTTGTGCCAATTTCCCCCTTGTTCAGCTTCCAAGCCAAAGGTACATACAGATTCCCTCAGGTTCCCCACCACCACCCTTTTGGCACCCCTTGAAGCAGTGTTCCCTCTAAGCTGAGTTAGTATGAGCTAGCTCACAGTTTTTTAGCCTCCAGCTCACAGATTTTTGTCTTGGCTCAGGAAGGACGGCTCCAGAGCAAACTTAATTTATGCAGCGGCCAAATTGCTCGCTCACAACTTTAATGCCAGTAGCTCAAAAAGCAGAATTTTTGCTCACGAGACTCTACAGTTTAGAGGGAACACTGCCTTGAAGGTCACTCCCCCACTCACATTGAGGCTGATCTGCCCACTCTGCACCTTCCGCCATCCTCCCCCCTTCATCAGTGTACAAGCTCCGCTAATTACTTTTCGCCTCATTGTTTCAAATTTTAATTTTTTTCCACAAGCGGCATGAGTGTCAGCAAGCTGCCATGGTGTTCTGTGTTACTTGTATCTTTGTACAGTTGCTCACCCCCCCCCCCCTGCCTGTTCGCCAGTATTTTATTTTGCTGTAATGCCTAAGCCAAACAACTGGAGGATGTATTGGGGGAGTTCGCTTCACTGCCAGCTTGTTGCTTTTAGAGCCTGGGAACTGCACCTGTGTTATGTCTGGAGTTAGCCTGGTTCTCAGGGAATGAGCGCGAAACCGTTTTCGTTCACCCGCCAGCGGGAAAGTGACCCATTGGTTCTGTACCTGTTTCAAATCCCTTTATTATGCTTGCCCTAACCGTTTGTAGTCAGTTCTAACAAAGAACGTGTTTGAGTGTCTTTCCAATGCTTTGAAATAAATTTTGCTTTTCTTGAAAACATGGATTTATTCTCGATGCTTGGGGATCCAACATATTGTTAGAACTCTCATCGTTCCTGTCGTCCCGAGTCTGGCGAGATCATGAGCGGGGCAGAGGGAACCACACCTAACACGGAGGGGGACGCGGGATCGGTCCCAACGACCTCCACAACGTTGATCACCACGACGGCCGCATCTTCGTTGGGTGCGGTGGGGGGAACGATTCCCCGGCTACCTGCATACTTGTCTTGGCCGCCTCCGACCCCTTCGCAATGGGGCCCGCGGCAGACACCAATGCAGGAGGATTGGACTTTGTATAATGCCAAGGGCACCAGGGAGGTTTACTCCCGCCGAGGCAGTGGACTTCGAGAGAGTCTGTTCGACAAAGGACTAGTTCCCGATGCGGAGAAGCCGGCTGTTGCCGGGAAGTACCGGACGATCCTCCGTGACACTGAGGATTGGATGTATGAACCATTTGGAGAGGGAGCATCGGCGCCTCCAAGTGAAGGGGACTATGAGCCACCTCCGGGATACCGACCTGGGGAACAAATCCCGGAGGAGGAGACTGGTGAGCACCTCAACGAGCTAGAGCAGTCGGTGAGGGACCTGATGAGAACTGTGCATGATGTGATGGAAGCCCTACCGGGGATGATGGACATTCGCATGGC